TGTATCTATCAACTGACAATAAACACAGCCTAAGGGTTAAGCTGATAACATGATAATCACACAAAGAGTAGAGCTGAAGAAAAAGCTTCCACTAAAACTGTATCATCAATCCACTCTCAACACATGTCAGGATCATGAAGATAAAACTTCAGTTCTAGCTTACCTCATCTCACTCTGCCTTCAACCATATGCAACACAAGACAACACAGGCCGCACACAACAGACACAGCACACAACAGATACAGCGCACAACAGACACAGCGCACAACAGACACAGCGCACAACAGACACAGCGTACAACAGACACAGCGCACAACACACACAGTGCACCAGCACCTCCCCACACAACGCAGATGGCAAATCAGCACCTCCCCGAAGAAAATCTCCTCCCCCCCCCAAAAAAAAATTTGTCCATCAACTGACCTTGGCTGCAAAACTGTGGTTGGCATCTGGGGCGTCATAGATTGCGTCATTCTCCAGGACGGGCTCTACCTCTTTGTTCATGATGTGGAAGGAGACCGGTCGGGGGAACTGGAAGGACCTGTGAGCAGGGAACGTGTCCGACCACAGAGGCCGAGCCAGGAACACGTCAGACGGGATGTACAAGTTGCTGTACCGTTTCTTGAGCTCCAATACGTTGGCTTCTTTCCTGGAAGAGTAAGGATGAGGGTAACGTCAAAAGGGGGGGTGGGGAATAGTCTCTCATGTCGGATAAAATTCAGTGGTCCTTTCCAAGATTGAATTTCCCTTCTATGGTCTAAAGTATTCAGTTTAGTTGATCAGTTTCCTTTATATATTATTCCTTATCTTGGCTAACTTAGTGGCCTGAGCAGCCCCTATGCACTGAGTTAAGTCAATTTTAGACCTCTAAGTCAGAAACATCAAAAAAAAGAAAAAAAAAGAAAAAGAAAAACTACTACTACTACTACTACTACTAAAAACATACCAAGAGAAATGAAAACAAATAAATGACCATAAAACAAATCCCACTGCTAAATCCATAAGAAAAAAAGAAAAGCTAATGCTCAAACAACAGACCCAATTTGGGCAAAACCTTACATGTGTAACAGAATCTTGGGGACTTGTACATTGTACCGAGGGACCACCCTGAGCCTCCGTCTGGGGGGTGACCGGGATCTTCCTCTGCTTCTGCTGCGCTTGCGGTTTTCCCTCTTCTCCTCCTTGTCCTTCTCGCCGCGGTCGCGCTCTCCGTCCCTAGAGGCTCTGCTCCGCTCCTCTCTCCGGTCTCTCCGCGGGGACCTCGGCCTCGGCCCGATCGTTCCCCGGGGCCCGAAGTTGGCTCCTTGGCTCTCTGCGGGAATCGCGGTTTGCTTCATCAGCCTGACTAGGAAGTTGTAGCGGAAAGGAATGGAAAAAGCTGAAGGTTTTGGAAACTTTGGTATGGGTTTGCAGCACTTTCTTCGTATGTGTGCTCAGACCTCATCTCACTATATCAAGATCATTATATCTATATCAAAACACTTTCTTACTATAAAAAAAAAAAAACAATTAGACAAGATACAAACAGGGAAAGAAAGAGATGTGATAAAGATGATATAAAAATAAGGAGAATGAGAAATAGAAGAAACGTAAGTAATAATGCATATGTAATGATAATAACCACTGATAAAAGACAATACAAAGAACCAACAGAAGAGGAGAAAGGACTAAATTGCTAAATCTATTAACCCAAACCTATTTTGTGAATATAACCTAGAAATAGGACTAAAGAACTATAATCTTTTATCTCCAAATCAATAATGGACTATTCTATACTTATCTACCAATAGCTTTAATTTCTAAAGGATAAATATAGAAGGTGATGCACAAGGAACCAGAAACCTAAGCTATTCACAACAGGTCTACACTATAAATGGATAACTAAGACATGACATAAACAAACTACATAAAATCTAATCTAGAATACCAAGAATACATAATGCCACAGTTACCGAGTTAAAGGGTGTTGAATTGAAATAGGTTCAAAGATATAATGAAGATATTTCTGATATTACATGGTTTCTATGCCCTTAACATTTTCCTAGTTAATCTACCTGGAAGAACAAATAGTTATTCTTCCAGTTACTGAATACCAATAAGAAAAAAAAAGAAAGAAAAAAAGGAAAAAAAACAAAAAACACAACTTACCACTACTAAAATTGGGGGGAGGGACAGCATTATACGAGCCCCCTCTGCTATTTATCTCTCTCGCCGGTGGGCCCGTACGACTCTGGTTCTGCGAAGGGGTTCCTGTCGGCCCGGGAATGACTTGGACACGATTGGCGTTCCACTTGAAAGGCATATTGGGGTTGTAGGTAGCTTCCACGAGCACGCGATCCCCTACTTTAGGAGCCTGGCCTTTTACGCAGCTAGGAAGAGAGAAAGGTAAAAAAGTTATACATTTGCTCTTTCCACATCTTACAGATTTTTGTCGTGTCACGTTCTCCCAAGATTCCTTATCCTATCCTTTATCATCACCAATTATTGCTCAAAATTACCAAATTTAAACAAAAAAAAAAGAAAAAGAAAAAGAAAAAGAAAAAACAAGAGAGAGAGAGAGAAAAAAAAGGCAGCAATGATATAGATCACCATTACCCATAAATACTTCTATCACACATGCCCTTACTTGCCCAAACCAAAATGACCAAGAGTGATGGGCAAACTACCACAAAATTACTGCACAGCTACCACTACAACTCCCCACACCAACCTCCCATTTAAGGCACGACCAACGTATAGTGACTGCAGGTGCTTATACCATAATACAAGCTTACCATAAACTCTTGCTTTACAAATTGATATAAACAAGTGTATTTTTGCTGAAAATCATTAGAACCTCTGGACAATGTGTGACAGAAGTCTGTGTATCAAGACATTTAAGTAGAAATATCTACTTTCTTTAATCTTAATAAATTGATTATTGCCCAATTCTGGAGTTATGAAGATAGGACTGTTATTGTTTTCTTCAAGAACACCATTTCTAACTTCCTTTTTCTAAAGAAAAGAGAATTGTTGTATTATGACAAGTTTACATCATATCTTTTATCTTGGATTTTTAAAATGTTTAAATAACAAGTACTAATGGATCTTTTTTTCTTTTTCTTTTTTTATAGAAAACTGAGCTGTGACATATCTAATATAAAAGAAAAAAAGAGTTTGAGTTTCACAGGTTTATCTATAACAAACCAAAGATAAGAAAAAAAGAAAAAAGAAAAAGAAAAGTAGATGATCCCCTTATAGGGTCTCCAAGCCCAACCTTGTCTGAAAAAAGACATCCTCGTCAACAAAGCCAAAATCCGCGCACAGCTTTGTTATTGTTCCCGTGAACACCCTCTGCTTCTGTGGTTGCTGTGCTGCATTGGTGCTGGCTATACTATTTTGTATGTTGGTTTGTATGTTGGTGGCGATGTTGTTCCCCATGTTGCTCGGGGTGGCTGCGGGGTTGAAAGCACCGGGAGGAGCCAAAGCCCTCGGAGCTGGGTAGGTCACAGCTGTCACCTGCAGGAAAATGATGTTACTTTACTTTAGCCTGTTGTGCATGAGTATGTCTAGTAGTCAAACGTTAAATCGGTACTCATTATATAAACCATTGGGGTTAATTCTCCACGGGATAAATGTAGTATCGGTATCAATATCAGTAATAAATATTGTCACATAAAGGTTACTTATTGACTCTTTGGTGGCTGAGTACTAGTGGAGACATCTGCCATCTAACATTAAATGAAGTAAAACCACAGTTGATATTACATGTACCCAGTGTCAATGGATTAATATTCTTCTACATGCTACTGTGTAAATGTTGCTGATTCTTCCTTCTGTATTTTCTTGGGTATCATACACCCATTCATTAAAAAAACACTGTATTTTTAATTCAAAATGACAACTAAGATAGAAAAAAAAAAGAAGACGACATTATTAACAACAGTATCTTTATAAATATGGCTTTTGAATGAAGGATGCAATATCTTAAAAACACCTATCAACCCAACACTTTACCTGTGGTTGTATCTGAGGCTGTATTTGCGGTTGCATTTGTGAATTGGTGATCTGTGTGGGGTTGACCAGGCTGGGGGGCTGCAGCGCTTGGCTGGTCATGGGGGGTTGGCCCATGAGGCTGCCCCCCGTATTGGGCTGGCCGATGGTCTGCTGAGTGATGGCTGGCTGGCCCAGGGTTTGGAGACCTCCCAACCCTGGGGGCTGGATCATGCTCTGCTGAACGGGGGCATACTGGGGCTGTTGAGGGGCTGCCCCCAAGACCAGCTGCTGACTTGGGGCCGACGGGTGCTGACCCAAGAGAGAAGGCTGCAGCTGAGGCGTTGTTTGGGATCTCTGTTGCCAAGGTGGAGGCGCCTTCCCACCACCAAACTGCGCCATCCTATCTTAACCTGTGAAAAGACATAGGTGGAAAAGTGATGAGAAAATAAGACAATAATCATATCAAATTCTCTATTATGATACTTAATAGGGTTCAGCAACACAGAAAGAAGGTTTTAAACTCATATGGCTAAAAGGAAATGCCCCCAAAACAATGAACAGTTTTTGCCTGGACATCAATGGTTCTCAAACTAGGTGCTGAAGTTTTATATTCGTCATTCAGATGTTTAACCTCTGTTTATTTCTTTTGAGTTACTATGACTCCTGGTAAAAGTGAAGATTATCTTCGCTGTAAAGGTAAATTTCAGTAGGCAAGGGGATGCAGAAAGGATTATGTATCTTGGGTGCCATTACTAAAAGAGATTTAGACCCACAGCTCTAGAAATGGTTTGATCTTCTAAAGCATTGATAATAAATGTTGAGATCTCACAACAAAATTATAAAAAAGGAACCAAACTGACCTTCCTTTAAAAATAATAATTAAATAAAATATGTGAAAGTTAAACATGAATCAGAAAGGTTTTCCCATTCCTGTCATATACCAAATACAGGTAACTGGAATACCCACAACTCACTTGCATTATATCATACACTCTAAGCAAGCTTCCTGAAAGACTTCCCTCATGCATGCTTCTTCAAATTTTTTTATACAGTATTTCTATCAAAGACAATTTTTTTCTACTTTATTCAACCTCACACGACTATACTGCGTTCTTTTTTTATCATCAAAACTTCTAAAACTTTTATTTATGTATCTAAGACTTCTACAGTAACATTTTAATTTCTTTTCTTTTTTTCTATTTGCCATAATCATGGTCTGCAATGTACTGACCAGTCGAGTCTATTTGCTATGTTTGTGCACAGAATGATCATAAATGGAAGGTTTTATCCCATGTCTTTTTCGCTTACATTATGCCCACTGATTCAGTCTGGCAAGTTCCCTCCGGTCAATCACCCTTTATCCCCCCCCCATTTCTTCTACAGGCCATTAACTCCCAATCCTTTTTTTCTTGTGAATCAAATGTAGTGAATGTGAAAGGTAATTCTGGCACTGTATGGCATATTTCACCCCCCCCAACCCCATCTCTTCCACCCTAGCACTCCCTCCCCACACACCATACTAATACATATTACCAAGTGGCTACATGTTCTGTCCTTATCTTATTGCTGTTTATACCTATAAATCTATATAAAAACAATTAAATTAAGTTGTGTATCCCCATTTTGAAGCTTATTCATCAAGGGGTTAACAACAATTAGACTACCTCTTTGATATTCTGATCTAGTGGGTAAGATCAAGCTCTAGAAATACTAGGAACCAAAACTATCTATCATAAACCGTAAAATATTACCTTTTCACAGTTGGGGAACAAAATGCGGAAGGAATTGCATTTCTTATGGGATACTATCAAATGCTTAAAGAAGAAGAAAAAGAAAAAGAAGAAGAAAAAGAAGAAGAAAAAGAAGACACATCTATAAAAAGTGCTTAACCAAGTGTTGCAAATATCTTGCCATTAAAAAATTTGGCAGACGGACGGGCAACATTAATGTCTCATCAAGTGAAAATAAAAAAATTTGGCAAAGGGGCAGGTGATGTGAGCCTCTCGTTATAAGAAATTATTTTTGAGGGGCAGGTTTTGGGGGCATCCAGCCAAGCACTTAGAATGAGACTGTATAAGCAGCTCCCAGGAAGGAGATCAATCGCTAGTTCCTGCATGATTTCCACTGGTCCATTAGGATGAATTTTTTTCTGTACGTTAACCATGCCTGGGAGAGAGCACCCCCAAAGGTGGACACAAGGCAGGGACCTATTCCTGCCATTACCAGGGTTTATAGTATTTTCCGGAAAATTGGACAATAAAAAAAAAATAAATAAATAAATAAAAAATAACACAAATTACAAATAACACAAATTGACTTAGTAGAGCATGGAGTGATAACTATCTGGAGGGATAATATAGAGTCCCCTCAATGAAAACATTTCCATTTGGATAACACACAACAAAAACAAATTTAGACTCAATAAATGGCAAAAATAGCAAAAATGTATCTGAGGAAATAGGGCCTAACAGAACTGCGGAGAAGAGGCAAGGAGTCTCGACACCACACACATTTTAGTGCAAGCCCAGCCTACAATTCCACCATTCCAGGAAGCCTAATGGGCCAGATCTTGGTTCACACACATGCTAAGAGGCACTCGCATCCAAGAAATCAATTTCTCTAAAATAATAACAACAATAAAACAATAATAATACAAATCTACATCCCACTGCCAGACTCCACATGTAAGAAGGTTCTAAAATCACTGTTTTACTGTGGATTCTAATTCTAACTGCTTCTTCCTCAGGGAATTGGCAAACAGGTCAAATTCCAGGTCCAGGACAAGATACAAGACTTGTGCACAGCAGCTAAACACCAAGTGGAATTCAAAGACTAATGACGTAACTTTTCTTGTATGAAAAATGTTGCTACAAAATTAAAATGGCTTGAGAAACAGTAACTGACATGCATTCATGTCCTATACTGTACAAAAAACTCCATTATAGTCAGTTTAGTTAGAAAAAAAAAGTATATTTACATAAAAAAGTTCTAATTCATTAACAGTTACAGAAATCTGAGCTATCAGAGGAAATAAATCTGGTGACATGTAGTATCTTTGGAACATCAGAAAAGGCTAACAAATATCCACCAGGTATATAATGGCAGGAGAGAGTTTGAACCGTTTCCTTATTTCTCAATAAATCACTAGAAAAGTCTACAATCCTACGAAAGATAAATCATGGTCACATCTGATACTAACAAAGACAAAGTCAAGCAGAAATATGTTCAATCCCAAAAGCTTTAGTACCTTAGACAATTAAAATAATAATTGACTTAACCAATTAGTACCAAATCCAATTTTCATAATCTTTTTCCATTAACTTTTGCACTTTTACATCGAACTTTCTGTTTTGGCATCTTTCATAGACAGGTTTTTCTATCAAGCACTGCCTTTAGGGGAATTTCCATCACACACACACAGACACACATAAAAAAAAAAAAAAAAAAAAAAAATGGTTTTCAACTACAAGGAAGGGACATTATATCAATATCTCTATAAGGGAAGAACAGTTTCAAACCTTTATTCACAATTAGACACCGCATGGAACTTGCCTAAAGATAATTAGACTTCTAATCAAATTTCCTTTGATATTCCATCATTAAAAAAAAAAAAAAAAAAAAAGGAAGCAGCATAAAGCAAGCCATTCCATTTTCCTCCAAGTGGCAATTTTTTTTAATACCCGGCGTCCGTTGTCCCTTTTCCTGAACATCCCTCAAAACAAATCTGCTAGCAACAGTACCTGAACAGTTCATCTGATACAAATCCGCTATCGACAGTACCTGGACAGTTCAATTTAGTTTGATTTATTCATTTTCATTCATAGTTGTCGCAATGCTGTCACTGTCACAATACTATCACTGTCACAATACAGGAATGATAACTTATCTTATTACACGAGCATCACACGAAAACCGATTAATTCCAGTTGACACGGCATGTCAACACTTTTCATGCCATGTCATAAAATTTCATGAATTTAATGAAAGCAATTTTGAAAGCTTCATTATGCAGAAGGTTACTTCAATATTATTCACATTACTCCATATTCAACTTCAATATTTTTTTTATTCAAGAAATCTTTATACTATAGCCAGTCACATTACAGGAAAGTAACAGATACTTTTTAAAAGTTAAAGTACTTGCTTTTATCCATTCTTTAAATAAAAATCAAACTCAAGATATTAATTTCTAACATCCTATTATTAGGTATTATAAAAAAAAAAAAAAATCTTGGATCCTATGAACCGCTTACCTAGTACCCTACATACAACCACAACCGAAAATTACACCGCAAAACATCTAAATTTAAACCCCAAATAGGTTTCTCTGTCCAGCAAAAGGCCATCGACTCCCACAAAAGACTTAGCACAACCTCAAAGAGATCGGTAATTTCCAGAGATCAGTAATTTCTCTGCCTTGGACTTGGAAGCCGTTTAACCTCCACGCCTACCAGTGCTCAAACAAAGGCCATCAGAGCTCTTGTCTTGAATACCGTAATAAGATGAAGAGTTTGTAGACCTCTCTGGCGATTTATCTTTACATATGGGCAAACTGCATGTTGCTGGAATAGACTGATATGCCCATAATAGCGGGGTGTGTGTGTGTGTGTGTGGGGGGGGGGTTATTGGCCTTTGCTAGAGCACCAAGTACATAGGGTGGGTGGGGTAGGGGTGGGTTGTTGGCCTTTGCTAGAGCACCAGGAACCACGAATGCAGAGGTTGGTTTTATTATCTTTGAATCAAGAAGAAAAGCTATATGTTATGCGTTTCGGCTCTGTTTATAGGCTAATCCGGACAGAACGCAATTCAAGGGAAGGAAACACTAAAACACGTCGCCATTCTATACCCTGCAATCTCCCTCGGTTGCAGAAGCATTCGCACAGAAACTCTTCCCGAAACAATCTTTTCCTGATTTTTTCTTTTTCTCGAATATTCCACTTTCTCCTTCATCCATTTTCCTCCTAATTAACCGTTTAATCTTTTACTTATTTATACTTAATCACAAAAAGGTAATATTATATCATTGGATTTTGTATTTCTATCCAACTGTCACAAGTCAATTTTTTTCTTTTCGGTGAATTTTCTAAATAAAAAGGGAAAAAAAAGCAAATTATAATAAAAGTTTAGTGTATTCCTTGCAACAAAAGTTTTAATTAGACTTTAATTCTCATAATGCAATTTACATCAACTTCAACAACAACAATAACCCAATAAAAAACAAAAAACAAAAAACAAAAACAAAAAACTAGAAATTAACAGAGAAAATAACAATCACAAATTTTACAAAAAGACATAGGCCTACATCAGGGAAAAAAAATAGGCCTAGATTAGGGAAAAAAAAAAAAAATTAATCCAATCTTCAATCTCTAATCAATCTTGAGAGGATTAATTATCAATTAGTTATCAATTAGTTATTAATTTCCTCTATAATCCAGAAACACAAATGACAACCACAATTTAAGACAAAAAAAACAAACACACACACAAACAAACAAATACCATTTTCCTCCCAAAATAAAACCGGTTGAAATAAAAAAATAAATAAATAATAAATCGCTGCAAAGAAATGAAAAGGAAGAAAAATATTATCATGATTTTTTTCCTCTTTAATTTTCCTGAAATTAAATACATAAAACAATATCAATACAGATCAAAAAAGGACAATTCCAAAGAGACAATATAAACCCCCAATTAAAAACCATATAAACCTAGAAATTAAGTTGAAAAAATCATATAAACCCCAGAGATTAATAATAATAATAATAAAAAATAATAATAATAACACATATTCTATCCACCCCTTTTCTCCTTCCCTTCCCTCTTCCCCCCTTTATTTCCCCCTTCTTCTCCCACCCCCACACACTCCTCTTCCCCCTCCCCCCCTCCTCCTCCTCCTCCTGGACCTCCTACACGAACACATTACCTATAGAAACTGTTTAAATAAAAAAAAAAAAAAGATCTTCCACAGAGAGAGAGCGAGAAGAGGCGAACAGCAACGCGTCCGACTCGCTTCAAGATGGCGACG